TATTACGTCGTATTGCAAGTCGAACAAGGGCAAACCCAATTTAGCGCTGCAGGGCTCTGAACAAAAAGCATGGAAACAACTGCCCACCTTCTTACCGCTTTTTCGTGCCGTTACAAGTATCGTATTATACAAAATACCAGCGCCTCTGATTCGTGATGCCTACGAAACATTAGCATATACTGTAGAGATGCTGTTTCAAACGCTGCACAAAGAAGTTTAACTTAGAATACAACAACGTCTCGGATTCGTCCTTGCTTGATATTTGAAACCGAAAGTTAGATAAGGTGTCCAGACGACAAATGACAACGTAAAAGCCCTGCTTCAGTCATGTCAAAATCTTCTGCGCATTCGATCTGTGTTCCAAATGTTACTTGCATTATATTACTTGTTCACTGAATAGCTGAATAGCACCGTTTTCGAAAATGATATATATAAACGAATAATTCACAAATTCTTCAAGTTTCATTATGAACGAGAACACTGAAATGTTCATTGCTGCTGAAGAAATAACCGTTATTCAATTCCCAATATTTAATTTATTCGAAAAGTTTGGACTTCTAGGTTTAATTCTCGGTACGCCTGATCAAAGTTGGTTCCCGGTGTCTTCTTGATTTGAATTTTGTCTTTTGCGTTGTTTCATGCTTTGCGCAATGGAATATCCTCTTTTTCGAAGCTTACGAAACAGATTTTGTTGTCCGTGGGTTGTGTATCACATTTCTGAATGCACTGATAGCCGAAGGTACCGTATCTTGCCCATATGTGAGTGGTTATAATGAGTTTCTAACTACCCGGCGTGCAAGATTCCCTGACTTTCAAACAGCTTTCTACTCGATACATCCGCATTTTGTCTAGTGCTTACCGCGACACTATGAGTAATGCAAAACATCATCGGTTTGCTAAACGGACTGTACGAAGGTACCAGTGAGCAGAAGTGGTTGTCGAACTGGCTTAAGATCAATAGTGGAGTGTGCCAAGGAGAGGTTCTTTTACCCCTACTACTCAGCGTGGTAGTAGATTATGTGATGGGGGAGGTCGTCGTACCCAACAACAGCGACCGATTTGTTATCAGACGACGACTCAGGCAAAGGTTCCTAGCAATACTCGTAACAGATCTCGAGTTAGCTGATGACACTGTACTGCTGAGCGACTCCGCCAATAGATTACTGGCACTAACTTGACAAGTGTGTAATGCGGCATCGACGGTACGCCAACGAGTTATTCCCACCAAAACGATGAATCTACGTGTACCCGACTGAACTAACGACCCAAAGATTCAATGGAGTGGAATGACCATGGAGGAGACTGAAGACTTCAAGCACATCGGCTCTGTACTGACAAATGTTAGAAGCTGCGAGATGGAAGTAGTACGACTCCTACGGCAGGCATCTGTGAACATCGGGCGATTGTTTCAAGTGCGGTATAATCGAATGATCGATCTATCCGGACAGCAACAAAACCACCTTCTTTCTAAACCTGATGTAAGCTTTGAAGCATCAACCCTTTTAAAGTGCCATGAAAAGATGTTTTGCACTTTTCAGCAGCGAAACATTTTGAAAGTACGACGGCGCCATCAAATGAAGAATTAAAAGATCTTGGAGACGACCGACCTGAAAATGCTGTCTAAAGAAATTCTGGAACCAGCATCTGTGGTGATTTGGCAAGACCACCCAAGAAAGATAGAAAACATATCCAAAACCGTTTTCTGTGGATGCACCAGAGAACAACATCGAACCCTAAGACAGCTGCTAGAGGTGGTGTTAGTGACGAGAAACATGACCTTGGCTGCAGCAGTCTACGTACTAGAAGCCATGGCGTCAAACGTCATTAATCTTGGTATTCCTTCCTTGACCCTGATACCTTAGTAAATAATGGCAACATTCACACAGCAACGTAATGATGCAGAACGAGGAACGGGTAAATTCACAGTGAAATATAGCTAGTCTATCGAGCAGAATTTTATCATTCAATTGAAGCACTCATTTGCGCTGTCCATTGCCACGCCGTTTTTATTTTGTCTATTAGTGTAGGCGAAATGTAAAACGATTACTTTACCATGTGTTTTTTGAACTTAAATTTTATCGTTTCCAGTCACATCAGCCTATTCTACATGATTTAGATACTGTATGATGCATAGAAAATTCAAACAGTGTGCAGTAACACTTGTTTGCTTTTGAAAGGAAAAACTGAAATGCATTAAAGTAATTCAAAATCTCAAAGTCGCACAATGGTTCTTTATAGAGTGAATACACTTCCTTTTAATTCTTGTGCTGAATGTGAATCAGCTATCAGGTGAGTCAGGACGAATTGCAGTCGTACGGCAACGTATACATCGCGGCCGCGTGCCTCGTCCATTCTGTTATGACCATACAAAAAACCATGCTGTTGCTGTTATTCACACGTCAGCGACGAGATGCCAGTTTTTCAACTGATTCTACAAGAACACTGTGGAGTAACTTCCGTGCTCGATGGAATTAGCAATAGGTAATAGAAAATTTACGTTTTACATGGGGTTTGAAATCGGCATTTCTCCATTTCTGTGCAAAGGAAACTACTCCCTATCCTTTCCGATTTTGGTTTAGATGCCATTCTGTCATCTTTACAATATAAAGCTAAAGAAAACGGACACCTAAAATGCAGTAGAATAATTACGCATGGCTTGACTGAAATAGGCTCAGACTTATCGATGATATTATTAACTGCTCTAACGCGTACATTCCCTTGTGGTGAAGCGCCGTCCTGATGCAAGTAAAACGTAAAGGCGAGAGAAGAGAAGACGCTAACAGGAGAATCTAGCTCTATACGCTTTGCTTTCCTTGTCCTGAATAAATACAATTGCAGCATTGCAACATATGGTCGACACTGGATTCGTCAGTCACTCCAAATCACGCTTTTTCCGTTGCTGGCCTTGTGCAAAAATGAGATTTGCATCTAGGCATTTTTGATGATACGATTTATCGTTGCCAACATATTGTTTTTTTCAAGAAGTTTCCGGAATTTATCATAGTCAATCACAACAGCGTTGAATTGAAGAACGAATTATCACATTCCTTTGTTTGCCTTGCTTACTTTCGTTTAATACGCTGCCTTGTTTCCTTTGACTTGACTGAACTGTCGATTAAGGACTTCGGCATTGACTGCAGGTAAAGTTCAGAGGACAATGAAGTATTGAAGTAAGTAACACAAATAAGCTGTGTAATCAGTGGTGACCTAGTGTCCATTAGCGAAACGTTCCTGGGAAACCTAAACTTTTGCTTATCTATTGGTCAGTAGTCAACCTGATTGAGAGAACCAACCAGTGTATGCAAGGCGTTCTTTTAAGCATGAGGTGAAGGGAAATGCCTT